TCAAACTGGTTCAGAAACTGTTTGAACAACTGCCCGTGGTGTGGCCAGGGGTTCTCCAGCAGCCGACTGTTTTTACTGCTGCCGTTCAATTACCGTTTGCCAAAGCAGAACCACTGTGAAAGCCAACATAACATAAACCAACATTAGCTGTAAAAGCATCCAGGGACCCGATATTCACACTGCATGGCCTGTKCACAAGGGATGGCACCAAGAGCAACTTCATCTCTCACTGCCCCACTGCGCTTCAGGCCAGCAGTGTTCAAGGTAGCCCAAGGCAAGAGATCTCCAGAGGAACATGTGAGCCCAGATTGCCTYATTTTATCTCTGTAATAGAAACTGTGATTGACAAGTAGTTATTTTAGGTTCATAGAGTGTATCACGAGAAACACCCTCTATGCAGGCGGGATGTACTGCCTGTGCTGGTAGGGGAGCAGGTACAGAGGAGAAAATGCTGCTCCAAAAGTGCCGCGCAGCTGCAGCTCCAGAATTTGTTTCACAATAATCCAGTTACCCGAGTTTGAATAACGAGGGCAGCAGAAAGTCTGATGTATTTCATATGCATTTGCTTTGAGCAGGGGGCCATCAYGTCTGCTCAAAAAATGTCAGGCTCAAATGACACCACCAAAGTCAGGAGAGATGCCTAACCATAAGTAAAAGCAGAATTTGGCCAACACAATTGGAAAATGTCAGCACAATATATACAAACACACACATGCAACCTCATATAAAAGCTGAGAATTGAGCAGTATTGATTTTTTTTAATCACACCTTTTTTAAATAAACAACCAAAATTTCATGTACAAACTCCTCACTGTTCTTCTATGCGGTTCATTCCTCCTACTGCAACATAAACAGACATATTAGACATTATGGTAGAGATTTTTTTTTCCTGTTGAGGATTTTAAACACCGTTCAAAGAGATAAAGAACAGATCTGGATTGTCCTCCAAAGTGATTTTAAAAATAGAGACAATTTCAAGATTTTCACAACCATCTGAGTATATATACAAACCAATATGAATATATTTTTAAGCAGACGATTTTCCCCTTTTTTTTCATAGTTTCCTTTAGAATATTATGAAGAGGAAAAAAGAAAATCCCTCCCAATTCAGCAAAGCTATCCTTTTACAACAAACATCATACTCAGACACTATTTCTCAAAGGTCCTACCCAAAAGGAAAGCAGCCTGTCAGCTCCAGTATCAATACTGGAAAGTTTGGTATCATCTCTGTAACATAATTCCATTAAAAATGCCCCTAGGAAAAAGAAAAATTTCAGTTTTCACGTGCAGTGCTTGACTCTAAGGTGCCATCAGGTTCCCTCCCAGCTCCTGCTTCTCTTCTTAATGACACCTGTGACTTGAGGTATCTTCTGCAACAACAGGGCAAACATTGCTATTGGCAAAGTCATAAAAGCATACAAAGGCTTGAAAAAGTTATGAAAATATCTGGGAGTTGAATGTAGCAGATAACRGCATTTTTAATAAAATTGAACAGATAAACTTTGCTGAAAATTAAAAACAATTCTCTTGTATCTGAGCCCATGATGAGTATTTTGAACACAAATACTGCTGCCAATAAAGATTTTTTTTTTCTTAACTCTTCTGTTAYTGGGAAGTGTTTGAATACAATCCAGTCAAAAAAATGCTGACTTTCCTAAATAGGGGCTGTGTTTTTGCAATAAGGAATACTGGTCAATATACAAGTGAAGGAAAACTGAACCAGATGTCAGTAATAGGACCACAGAACGTTGCATTTGCCCAGAATTGCTATTTTAAACACACGATGTTGGTCTACTGGTTTGTGGGATAATACATTCTTGGCAGCCCGAGGAAGTTTCAGTATGTTCGAAGGTTATCCTGGAAGAGAAAAAAAAAAGGCGTGTGGGGGGAAAGAAGGGAGAAGCAGAAGCAGCACAAGAGAGGTAGATGCCACTAATTCATCACCAGTTCCTACTGAAAACAAATTTAAAAATAGTGACTTAGGAAATCAGTTCACAGAAAAGCTAATCTCACAACAGAAGTTTTGGTTTTCATATTAGTTTCCCTTTTCTGTTTTACTTCCTTACCTCTCATACTTTACTGTATTTTACCTTTTCTTCTTCCTTTCTTCCTATTAGACTATCTCACTGCTGTCCAGGCGCCGTTTCCAGGCACAGGTTGGAGGAAGAATTGGGAGCTTCACCTTCCCGGAGCAGGGCTGGTGAGCGGCGGGTCGGGACACCACAGCCGGACACCGCAYGCGCCACCCACACCGGACGCGGCGCCGGCCTCCGCGGTGGAAACCTCGGCTCAGCCGAGCCCTCGGCTGACATCAGTGGCCTGACTTCAGCAACCGGAGACATTTGCAGGGCCAGGTCCCGCTGCCCAGAAGTGCAAACCCTGAAAGCCACACGCACAGAAGCACTAACCCAGGTCCCTGGTGAATCAAGYCCTTGCCCATCCTGAAAACGCTTCATAGTTCATGGTCACAAGGATTCGGGCTCAGATTTCTTTTAAAAAAGTAGCTACATCTGCAGGCCCTCTTAACATAGAAATAAAACTTCAAGATGTACTTTGTATGTTTGGCACGCAAGCACTTCCCTGTTTTACCACGTAGTAAATTTAAAAATCAACTCTGCTCGTTGTTTTAACAAATCCTCCTCTGAAAGATAATTAAAACCACTTCCCAATATACAACCAAAGTTTTATTTTTATAGCCTATCTTCCATTATGGCATAATCCTTTCTTTTTTTAAAAACCAGTGAAATATACAAATCACGCAAGACAGAAATATGTACATTAAATGTACAGAACAGAGGAAAGGACATAGAAGATTTACATATCTGAATGACAAGTAAAATATTTTACATTAAATAGTGTTTTAACGGCTAGGATCATTAGACTCAGTTCTGCTCAGACACAAGTTGCTAAAAAGGAACAAGAGGTGATTCAGTAAATGACTATGGTTTTTGTATAATAAAAACCAAAARTGACATATTCAATGAATTAGTGCTTTATTTATTTTTCTTACTTTAAAGATATTCTTTGCAAACATCTGAAATTGAGGGGTAAATATGTCCTTGTACAATAAATTAAGAGCAATAAAGCGCCATTTAAGAAGCTGATAAATGATCAGATGAACTTTATGATACAGCTTATAGGCTTGTGAATAGTTAAGGCTTTAGTACAACTAGGCTAAAGTGAGAGATTTTTCTTCATTTGATAGCTGTAAAACTAATTTCTTTAACTTACTGGATGGATGCGAGTTGGAAAAARACACCTGAACCAACAACCAAAAGCTGTGCACATACACAGCACCAGGCAGGGGGATGTGGATTATTCAACAAGTAACAACTTTCAGGACAAACAATRAAAACCAAGGGCCAAATGCAGCACATTTTAGATGTAGGGTGTCTCCTTTCAGCAATCATCAATAATGCCCTTACATAAAAGTGAAACAGAAGTGATCTGCAAACCAGTATCAAGTGCAGGGTACTGCCTCCAACAACAACCCAAGAAAGTCCTAAGGCCGGGAAGGGGCTTGCTTCTTTGCCACATCCTTAAAACCTTTGAATTATAATTTTTTTTTTTTTTATTAAAAAAATTAAGAACACCAAAAAGGCTGAACTCCATCTATTAACCTGAAGAGATCTGAAAAAGAAAATGGGGGATGAACTGCCCCTGTAATTTAGAAGTTTCATTATTTAAATCATTAAAAATATATATATGTACAAAAAGCTTTGAAATATCAGACACCAGCAGACCACAGTTTTCCCCTATAAATGTAACTGCTCAAGTATATTCTGAACAGTTGTAGTGTATATCTGCAATATATTATCTAAAGCATGTGTATTAAAGACATAGGATGATAAATTTGGTATTGCTGCAACATCTCATTGAGCTATAATAGCCACTTAACATTATTAAAATATGAAACTATTGTCTCCTTGAGTGAAAGCATTCCCAAAATTTGCAGGAAAAAAAAAAAAAAAAGAAAGAAATCATCCCTAACGTCATCCCTAGAGTGAAAATCTAATGATTTATTTTTCTCATAAAATTAGAGGAGTCATTTGTCAAGCTGTGTTTCAAAAGGTAGCCAACTATCACACCATTWTTAAGGCACTTTCAGCTTTGAGGTTTTCATTTGCTACGGGCTTTGCTGGTTGGGAAAGCGAGGCTGCTGCAAGCGCGCTCCTCCCCGCCAGGCACATCAGCCACCGCCAACACTGCGATCGAGACCTCCTTTGCTCCCGGCGCTCTGCAGCACCACATACCCAAACAGCACTATTAGGTGAACAACTAAAGCAGGACCAATTCTGCCTTTCGTATCAATCAGGGCAGAATTTATTTATTTATTTATTTGCTTTTTGCATTCACTAGGTTTTAACCCAACCCAGCAATCGGGAGTAGCACAGCTGAAGCCTTTAGGATCCTATGCTCTTTTCCCTCAGACAATATTGTGTACTGAAGTTCAGATATGCAACTGACACTGCACTTTGTGATGAATCTCATGAATATATCACCCTTTTTTTTTTTTTCTTCTTAAGATGCCTAAATGTACTGAACAGCTTTATATACCATCCTCTGGTAACTCCTAGTGTCTGCAGCTAAAAGTCCTGCACAGGTCTGCATGCTCCTTGCATCCATGTGAATTGTTCTAACATCCCAAGCACATTACATGGATTCTCTGCCTAACGCACAGGTATTATGTCCCACAGGACTACATTAGGATATGTTGGATTTTCCCCTCAAACTACTCTATTTTTTTTTTTTTAAGAAAAGTCAATTTTTCTTTACCTTGTAAAATAAATATTCATAGGATCTCCCCCATTATTGCCAAAAATATAAGCCACACAGTTCTGGGACGGATGCAGAGAGGGTTCTGGGCACTTCCCTGCAACCCTTATATTTTTCTTTTTTTCCTGTTTTTTTTTTCTTCTTTTTCCTTCCCCACCCACCTCCTTCTGTGTTTTTTTTTTCATTTTCTTTTTAAAAAAAAAAAAAAAAAAAAAAGGACAACAACTCCTTGGACTCTATAAATAAAGTGGAGATAGTCCTGCGAGAGGGGAGCGGGGCCCACACCTCTCAACGGCGGGCGGCAGCAGTTCCTCCCATCTTGCGCCTCTCCTATTTGCACACGAACTGGTCCACAATCTCCGTGCACAACTTGCATTTCACGTAGCAGCACCAGTGGAACTTGCAGTGGCAGCGCTCGCGCTGCACCGTCTTGAACTGGTCATAGCCCCGGCCGCAGCACATGAGTTCGCAGCCGTCCATGCCCTCCGAGGTCTTATTGCAAAGGCGGCCCTGGGTGCCCAGCGAGCCGGTGCTCTCGTTGCGCACGCAGTAGTCGGGGCTGGGGTCGATGTAGACCAGGTCGTGGATGGTGGGCGCGTTGAAGCGGCTGTTCACTTGCACCAGCTTGCCCCGGCTGTTGAGCTTCATGGCGGCGGCGCTGTCGTACTTCTCCTTGAGGGCATCGCCCACCTTGCGGAAGTCGGCGAGCTGCAGCCAGCAGGTCTTGAGGCTGCAGGAGCCCGAGACGCCGTGGCACTTGCAGGCCACGTCGGCCAGGTTGTACACAGTCTGCAGAAAGGGAGGCAGGGGGTTAGTGACGGTGTTGGAGAACTTATTCCCCGTATTTCCACTCCCCCAGCCCAGTCACCGGCACCACTTCAATATACACAGCTTAGCACCCTCTTCCCTCCTGAAATATGCTGGGAGCAAAGAGCAGAAGCACAGGCAGGAGGAGGAGGAAGCCCTCCTTGCTTTCTCCCCACCACACAGACCGCCCCGGCATCGCTCACGCTACAGCCGGATCGCAGGAATTCACTCCTGCGCCAGCAAAGGATTTTGCTGTTTCATTGAGAAATGTAAAACATCCCTTTATTTTCTACCCCYGGTTACTCTCCCTGCTGATCCGGGCTTGGGGCTGCAATTAGGGAAGGAGTTAAGAGCCGTCTCACTGCTGGCTCAGCTGCAGCCGCCTCTCCGCTCTTGGCTCGGCACCTTCCTCCCATCCCCGATTCCGCTCCACCAGAGAGCCAACATCCAAGAAGAAACCCCCAAACACCTATGGGTGGGAGAAGGCGCTACACAGCAATATCCTCTTTACAAAGCTTTGGCAGGGAAATATCAGTCATTTGCCCTGTGCAAACAGAAACAAGAGTCGGCGTTGACACTGCCCCAAAAATCCTGGGGTCTGACACATTAGATGATACTGCAGACAACTTCCACCCAGGAGTTACAGAAAGCTTTAACGCTGCCAAATGGCCTGGCGAAGATGAAGCCAGGGAAGGAAAAAACTGCTAGTCTCCATAGGCAACTGTGAAAGTGTCGTTTTTCTTCTCGCTAATAGTAAATTGGCCTTTCCATTGCTTTCAGACACCCTCCTCTCACATTTAAATACTATTAATTTTCAATTATCTTTCATCCTTCTTCACCTTAGAACACAAGTGTAAAGTCTCCAGCTGACAATTCCTGGCACTTCAGGCGCTAGGAAAATAATGATTTTGGCTCTTCGCATTCAGATTATTAAAAAAGAAAAGTTTACACCCATTCATTTAAGGCATTTCCAAGATTAAAGACACCATAAAGACATGTTTAACCACAGAAGACCATGTTTTCTAATAACATGGAGAAGCTTTTCACATCCTTTTAAAGCAAGGAGGAAAAACAGAAAAAGCACAAATCTGCAACATTATCCCAGCCTAGGAAGTGTCRTGAGTCTCCCTCCCTTCCATATCCACTGCTCTGGTGGGAACTACAAACCAACGAAACTCTGGAGAAAACTCACAGGGCGGTACGGGAACAGTACGAAGGAAAACACGAATTTGGACCCAAATTTGGCAGAGGAAGGTGGAAAGCCGGTGGCCAACCAAATGCACCACACGCACGCTTGCATTTTGGCCACCTACACTGCCCCAGCCCGCTGTTCTCCTCATTCACACACACTCCTTGCTGGAGGTCACCCACCACCGTGCAGCAAGAGCAGGGAGGTCCCTACTCAGCGCTGCCTGCGGCCTCGCGGCTGCCACTTACCCGCCGGCCGGCCTCGTTGTTGTGCAGGTTCATCATGATGCGGGCGCTCTCATAGGAGCCTCGCTGGTAGACGCGCTCGCGCTCCCGGGCATCGACGAACTCCTTGGCGAAGCGGTACCCGTACTCGATGTTGTCGCCGCAGCCGCCCCAGAGCCAGTCGCGGGGTAAATCCTTGGGCCGGGCGGCGCGGCTGCAGCCRCAGGACGAGAGCTCGCCCTCCCGGCAGGCCCGGCTCATGGCGTTGACCACCCCAGCTGCGCTCACCGCGTAGGTGAAGGCCGTCTCCCGGCTGCCTGTGGGGAAACACAGAGCGTCATTATTCGGGCCGGGGCCCCGAGGCATCTGCCCACTCCTCTCGCACAGGCCCCGAAATACGGGCCAATGCTCAACGGCTGGGGCTGTGACCAAGCACYGGGCTTGCTGACGGGGTCTATCGGCACAGCCAGGAGCCACTGGATCCCCCAGCGCCAGCACCAGCTGCCCACCATGGGTTAAAACCACCGTGTCGACGTGTTGGGAGGAGAGAAAACTGCCTCCCTGTCTCTCTCCAAAAATGAAAGAAAAAAAATAAAGATGATAAATACAACTTTTAAAAGCCAGCTCCTTAAATTACTACTTCTCAAGCCTGATTTATGCACTTTACCCACTTGTTCCACTGCATTTAGCTGCAGCGCTTTGCAAAGCCTGTGGGCACCTACCAAAGGCTCTGCAGAAGGGCACGTGGCCTCCCACCCTGCGCTGACGGAGTCCGGTCAAAACTAACCCTGTGATGGTCGGGCTTCCGCTCAACGACTCTCAACACCCCAGGCCAGGGCACCCATAGGCTGTCATTGCTATAAATGATGGAGGAAGAGTTAAAAAAAACACTACTAACAACAAAAAAAAAAAAAGAAAAAAAAAAACACCTTGGCACAAGGATGTCTTAGAGGTTTTCCTCCTGCATCTGGTTCCCTTAAATGGAAATTCAAAACCTGGGTTTCAAACTTTCTGAAGAAAAAGTTACTGAACTCGTACACAGCAGTCCAGAAATGCCCTCAAGAGAAGGCAACATTCAAGGGGCGCTCTCTCGGCAGTGACTAAACTTGTCCTATTCAGAGTCTGGCTTCCTCTTTCTCTTTTCCCAGGATGTCACAAAATCTCGCTACAACTGAAAAAAAAAAACTCCAAAAAAAGACAAAACATGCACCAGAGAGCCCACCTGAAATTTGCTTTTCATCTTTAAAGACAGTATCCRCTGTATTTTCCCCTACCCCAAAGAAAGACTCACGGAACGACTAAGTACTGACTAAAACTAATGCATCATTTTCAACATATATGAGTTCATTTTTATTTCTAATTTCTAACTCAATTATTTGCTCAACCTCATTTTTAACTCCATTTTTACGAGATGCATTTTAGGGTTTAGGGGACCTTTGTGAATTCAGGGCTTTCGGAGGTAGGTTGAGTCCTGGCCATCATCATGCCAACCCTGGGCACCAATGCTTTGAAGCAGAAGTTGTGCAATACCTGTTGTAACAGGCCAAATGTAGTAGRAGTTTTTGAGCACTTCTGGAACATAAGTAGTACGGTCCACATTTAACATCAAGACGGCACCAAGCTCAGAGCAGCTTTGTTAATAATAACAGCTGTCATCAACTGGGTTAACTTAGTAATACGTACTGTTTTTAAAGGGGCAAAAACAGAARTCTTCCATTGGGAAAGATCAGATTTAAGGAAGATGAGAAGCACTTTGCCCTTACATACAGGAATCTTTGCTGATAGACACCTGCTTATGGAAGCACTTATATGAACAGAAGTATCAATGCTAACAGGAGTGGTCTCTTCACTTAAATTTGGCTTTATACAGTGACTTACACCTTACACTTACTACTACTATCAGGGTGGACCTCATACAGATTTTTGTGTTCCCCATTTGTACACACATTTTTGGATTAATTCCTTAAGCAAAATTTCCAGTAAATCTAGAAGCATGGTCTGCTTCAGACCACAGAAGTTGCCGCTTCTGTTCCAGTTTATCCTTTGCACGTTAAGTTAGCCCACAGTCTCACATGGTTAACTGTGCTGTTTATTGCAGGATTTAACCTCATAAGGCTGAAGTTTTTATTATTATTCACTATTACCTTGCAACATATTTTAAAACAACTCACTCTTAGAGGGAAGGAGGAAGAAAGGCTGAGGAACAGAGGAGAGAGTTGTCCCCAAATTTTCCTCAAGGCTTGGACATAGAGGCAAACTGTAAAATAACATGAACTGCTGAAACARATTTCTAGGCTTCTCAAACTGCAAGCCAACACTGCCTAAAGTCATCGACCCCAGGAGCACACTAAGAGTGATGGTTCAACATGGATGAGTTGCTCTGAAATTTTTTTTCAGGTCTTTAGGCTCAACTGTGCTTTCCTTCACTGTCAAGTGTATCTGTCTTTTCCCACAACGTTCCTCCCCATTGTAGCCATGGCAAGGAAACACATTCCAAACACAAGCGAGTCCCCCTCTCCCGCATATATAAAAAACACAGAAATGGAACAGTTCAATACACAGACACCATAGGAAGCCACCCACACTGCAAGGAACTGTGCTTTGCACTTGACACCAATTTTTTTCTCTGTTCTTGCAAACTTAAATACCTGACCAATAAGATACAAAATGCTCTTTGTCTGGTAAGTTAGAGGCGTCCAAGGCCAGGCAGCAGGCGTGGGGAGCCTGGCCCTAACACACGGAGCGGCTCGGGGGGATCTGCTGGTTGTATTTGCTAGTCCCGCTCCTGTCAGGCTCTGCAGCCCCAGCCGGCAGCCCCCGGCCCTGCGAAGCCAGAAGATGGCGCAAGGAATCGAGGCGCCGTGAACCGGCGAGGGGCCACCAGGCCCCCAGAGCAGCTCCAAAGAACAAAAAACGACTTCCCAGCTCAGCCAGCAGCTTCCGAGCCCAAAGGCACATTTCCCTGCACTGCTCCGGCTGACTTGGCCAGCARGAGCCTGGAGGGACAGCCTGTGCTCTGCACGAGCGGCTGCGCTGTCTGGCATCAGCTCTGGGGACCAGAGCCCATGGAGCGATGGGGACTCTGACAATCAYGGAACAGCCGGGGGAGGAATGACCGACAGCCGCTGCCGGGCACAGCCAAAGCAAACTCCGCTCCCGGAGCACGTGCTGTCCTTCCACTCAGGCCGTTACTGGTCATTAGCAAAGGCCAGAGCGCAGGAACACAACTGTTGCCGACTGCACCTTGCTGCTTCTCCCTGAATACGCTCCTCAGGACCTGCAACTCTTGCACATGGCTATTAATCCTGCTTCCATCTGCAATTAGAATAAGTGGCTTAATTACATGATGAACTGCTATGTAGACATCCAACTAATGCAATCATATTCAGGAGAAGGGTGCGGCAAAGTTATTTAACTTGAAAGAAAATAGATCTGTCATATTCGGGGAGGGAAGAAACTTGTCATCTGGAGACAGGCATTGMGACTCGCGGGCCCAATCCTGCATGTCTCCAAACACAAATAGTCCCACCGAGCTGATTTGCCCTTACTTGAATAACAAATAAGGGCTGGAAGACAAAGGCCCAGATTTCAAACAGTTTGTTGGTTTTTTTTTTTCTGGCACTTGTTAGATTTTCAGATCAAAGAAGTCTACAGTCCTTTTATTCACCTTTCATGTGCTTTTAGGCTTTGCTCAGGTAGGACAGTGAGGAAGGTCAATACCGTGCTTGCAAAAAATCTGAGAAATGTATTTTATTCATCTGAAAAATCTCAAAACAAAAACTTTTTTACAAAAATGGGGACCAAATGCAAATCAGCCATATTCCTTCAAGTTTAACCCAAATTAACCAATTTACAGATAGATCTAGCTTGAATTTAATTTTAGGCAGAAAAGCACTGGAATAAAAGCTTGACTTCAGATCTCTGACCAAAAAACAGCTCCAATATTGTCAGTATACTGATCACTGCATAAAAGCTCATGACTGTCACCTAGAAAATAGATTTCCTATATATAATATACAGRATCAACCCTGGGAATGCCCAGAGGAAGATTACACCATCTAGTTCGGTACCACTGGTTAAAATTTTGCTAGAGACTTTAAAATGCGATGAGCTCCTTAAACAACAGGAAAGGCAGGAAGCACGTGAGCACTCAAGAAGCACATTTCAAAGAGGATCTGATAGGGAAAGGGTTGGGTGCCCACCAAATTGCAGCAAGATGTTAAACCGAACCTGTCTCTCTCCCAAGCTACGTGATTACGTTAACCGTGAGATACGAGGACAATCACACGTTTTGCCCTCATAAAAATGATTTCATACAGATTACATTATTTTTCTCACAAATTCAACCTTCTCAAAAAGAGCAAGACGTTACCAYATCTGGAAATAAACAAGGAGGAATTATGTATAAACACTAATGGAGCAGCAATTTTCAGTTAACCTCTAGACCAAGAGCAATTTATTTTTATGCAGCCGCTAACTCTAGAATCAGACATGGTCATCTTTAATTGTACAAGACACTTCTGGTTTTAATTCTTTTAGATTGCCTCTATTTTCTTTCATTACTTCTAAAAGGAGATCCCAGAGCCATGTTTTCCCTTACTTCTCCTCTGTTCCCATATGTAGATATACATTCCTGTTTTGTTTTCCGAGATACRTGGCTGGACAGTGGTGGGAAATCACCTCCAGCTAAAAATAATTCAACTCCTTTGCCAACTTTTAAAAACACTTGATTGTATACAATACTCAGTAAGAACCTGGCAAGAGTTTCAAGTGCAGAACATAATGTGCCATACACATCCTTAGAAAAGAGTTTAATCATAAAGATTTTGCTTCCTACCTATCTGCATGACTCTGCCAAAGACAGAGTTGTTGTCCACAGTGCTGCAATTCCATCTTCTATGTCTGAACTGATACTGGCACTCCTTAATTCCCGTCTTTGCACCCTCTCCAATGAACTGCATATGGTCCTGATACAATTGGCAGAGTTTCTTCTGTCCTTGGGAAAGCCCTGCTAGCTGGCTACATAGTGGCTGGGCTCCTATTATATATACCTCTGACATCTGCACAGGGTTCATTGGGTTCATGGGATTCATCCCTAAAGACCTGCATAAAGAAAGATTCAGATTAGTAAAGAGAAGACTTTAAAAAAAAAAGTGTATAAATCTCATACAGAATTCTATGTTATATGCAAGCACTGAGCCTGAGTCCTATTTTTGCTATCAAGAAAAAAATAAAAAAAACCCACCCACAATTATGAAACTCTTGTTGTAGAGACCGCACAGAACAGAAGCCGTTAGTTCCCATCCATGTGGTCGTCACCCTMCATTACTGGCGAAGGCACAGACAGCGGATAAGGCTTGGAAGGATCCTATCTGGGCAATCTTTCACCAGCTTTAACGCACATAGTGAAAAATAACTGCAGCCCCAAACAACTGCAAGGCCAGAGAAATGCGTAAAGTGAAAAGGAACAAAAAAGCTTCCCAAACCCACTTGAATTTAACACACATTATAGATTTAAGTCTGGATTTTCAATCCGTTCTACCATAAGCAAATACGGAAATCTTTAACATGCCAGAAGTTCGAGACTACTACAGACTACTTCCAGCTTCTTTTGACTGACACAGGAAAAAGATGCGATTATATTCACTATAAACGAGATCGGCTTTGTTTCTTATTTCCCTTAGTGTGTTGTGCATGATACAATTAATTTTTAAAATGCCCATTAATCTAGAAAAGGACAATTGAAGCAGCAGAGAAACTCATTTCAAAAACTCCCCACACCACTCACTGTTCAGAAATGAATTGTTTTCCAAAGTGAATGTACTTTGTTGTAACAAAATATACATATAAACATTTAAGTTGAGGAGAAGTTCAAACATAAATTTGAATCTTACATCCAACATTATTTGTAATTCTGCATTTTCTCTTACATGTGCTCAAATCCCAAACTCAGGGAGTGGAAGTGACTCTCTCAGAAGAGATGCAACTCCTCTAGTTCAAGGGTGATCAAATCCACAGAGAAACTACTTTAATGCACTCTAAAACTGAGGCTTGCAACAGGAGATGCTACAYATTTACACTTATTCCAGAAACACGTTCATTTTACTACTCAACATGTTACAAGAAAAACATGATTCTCCGGCAGTCTCGATCATGCAATACTTCCTCAGGAACAGATAAAGCACATAAAGTAGCCAAGCATGCATTGCATCAAGCAAAACTCAACACCCCCTTTAAAAATCAAGTCGATATAAGATGCTTACCACCAAGAGCTGGCTTCTATTACAACCTGGGTAAAAGAGGAGAAAATGGCCAGAGCCACTACGAGGTACTGAGAAGCCATTGTACTGCCAACTGTCCCCAAAGCACCTCCTTGGATTAATATTGCCGTGGATTTCTAGACGGGGAGGGGAAGGGAGGGGAAGAAAAAGGAGCAGATTGTTTATTGCTTCTCAGACCATTTTCGAGCATTCAAGTTTAAACAACGGAAGTATCCGGGCCCCTTTTAACTTGACTCCGACTCGCCTGCCCTTCTCCCCGACGAGCCTTTGGTGGCGAGACGCCGGCGCGGCCGCCGCTTCGCCCGCGCAAAACCCGCCCGCCCACGCGCCCACCCACCCGCCCACGCGCCCGCCCGCCCGCGGGGCTCGGCCGCCGCCGTCGGGGGGTGCCCGGGGGCGCTGCGCCCACGCGGGGCGGGCCCGCGCGGGGCTCACCCCATGGCTCCGCGCTGCGCGTTCCTCCCGGCTCTCCTCCGTACCAAGCGCTCCCGGCTCGCTAATTTTTTTAAGGGGCTTCGGGTTTGCAAGGCGAACCCCGACGGGAAGGGGCGGCCCGAGACGAGCTGCGGCGCGCGGGGGCGGAGGAGAGAGGCAGGGGAGACCCCCGGGGGGAGCCGGGCCCGGCCGGGGGCCGAGCCCCTGGGGTGAGAGTAGAGGGGGGCGCGTCTCGCCCCTCCGCTGTCGGAAGGCGGACGCCCCCAAGTGCCCCTTAAACCATCGCGCCCGCTCCAAGCCGCTTCCCCGCCGCCCTCGGACACGGCCCCAGCACCGCGCTGACAGCCCGGGTCCCGCATGGGCGCCCCACAGGGAGCCGGGACCGCCTCGCCCCTCCGCAGCGGCTCCCGGCCGGGGTGAAACCGTCCCGCGGGGCGGCCCTCCGATTTCCCTCCGCGCCCGCGCACGGGACGCTCTCAACTCTCTAACTGGTGCCGTTCGTATTTCCCCTCCCTTTGTAAGAAGGGGAAAAATAAAAAAGAGGAAGAAAAAAAAAAAAAGACCATTTCGACACTTGGGGGCTCCCTATTCATTCTCAAAAGCTGAATTCAAGGTGCTCCTAATTTAAATTACTTTTGCTTACCGAGAGTCGGGCGCCTCTGGGCACTAACCCGGGCCGAGGCAGCTCGTCCGTTTCAGGTGGGATAAACCCCAAAACAGACGGGAAGGCGAGGGGCGCAGAAACGAGGACGAGGTGACGCAAGATGCTAGCAGCTCGCTAGGCACCTCGGCAAAGTTTTCCGTACTTGCATTTATTTAGATAGCTCTTAAAAAAATCGAAGGGGAAAGAAAAGGGAAATGCGGGGCAGACCCGCCCCAAGGCTAGGGCAAAGGCCGAGCCGAGGACCACGCAGGTCCGCAGCGCGCCGTGACACCCCGCCTGCCCCGACGCAGCCCGGGCCGTCCCGCGTGCGAGCGCCGCGGGAGCCGCCGCGTCCCGCGTGGCCGCCCCACGGGGAGCCGGGCCCGGCGCGGTCCCGCTGGCGCCCCGGGGGAGCCGTGCGGCCCCGCTCCCAACAGGGGGCGGCCTCGGCCGCGCAGTCCCCGCCGGGCGCCGGGGCCCCTCCGACGGCATCTGCCGCCCGTCGCGGCCGGTACCGGCACCATCCTCCTCCTCGGGGCAGCAGCGCTGCGGGGCGGGAGGAGACACCTGCGCGCGGGGGCTCGTCCCCCTGCCCGCCCGAGTCACGTCTGCGCGAGCAGCTGAGACGCTGCCGTCAAAAAAAAAAAAAAAAAAAAAAAAAAAAGACAGAAGAAACAAAGACAGAGAAAATAGAAATGGTGAGAGAGAAAGAAATGGCAAGAAACAGTGAGGGACCAAAACAGCCTGAGAAAAAAAAAAAAAAAAAAAAAAAAAAAAAAAAAAAAAAAAAAAAAGTGGGGGTGGGGGGATTTGAGGGGGAAAGTGGAAAAAAAAATTCGCCGCTGGTATTGGCTCCGGGGCGTGCGAGGCACCATTTTAAACTCCGCCGGGACGGGGAGATTGGTTTTCGGCAGCGAGCGCGCCCCATGCTGCGCGGGGGGCTCGCGGGCAGATGAAAAGGGTCTTTTACAGATCCTGCAGCMGTGGGATCGCCTGTGATCCGGTTTTACACGGGGCGTCTGGAAAAGCCTGCGAAGGCATCTGGCTTTCTGGGAGCGCTACCTCGGGGAGGAGGGAGCGAGGGAAGGAGGGAGGGAGAGCGGGGCCTGCGGCACCGGGGGGCTGTAAAACGCGGCCGCAGCCGCGGGGGGCTCTCGGCTCCGCGGGGCCGCGCCAGGAAAGGGGGGGCCGCGCTGGGGCCTCGCAGCAGCCGCTCCCGCGGTCCCCGCCGCGCAAAGCGCCCTCCGCGGCGGGGCCGGCGCTGCCCGCGCCCCTCGCTGCGCGCCCGCTGAACTCGCCGTGACCCTCGGCCCGCACCTCGCTCGGCGCACAACGAGGGCGACTAAAACACAACTGAAAACAAACAAGCAACAACAACAGCAAAAAAAGAAAAAGCCGGCAGTGCTTCCAACATGGAGTCCTCGCAGCGCGCAGGGGACCCCGCGGAGCGTCGCCGCTCCCCTCCTGACCGGGGCAGAACTCGCTGCAGATGCGCACTGAAAATCGCCAGAAACGCTGAATTAAAAAAAAAAAAAAAAAAAAAAAAAAAAAAAAAAAAAAAAAAAAAAAGGGGGGGGGGGGACGTCTCTTACTCCAGGTTCTCTGCTGGCCCGCGGCCAGCTCTCCTTAAAGGTACAGGCCACCATTAGCGCCTACTTTTACCTCCTCCATAGCAAACCTCCGCGGAAAAGTTTGGGAAGATGTCTTTAAACTCGCGCGAGGAGCCGCCGCCGGGAAGATGCACGCGGGCTGTCCCAACCCAGCAAGTGTCCGTGCAGCGGCAGCCCCGCTCCTCGCG